CACTGGAGACAGATGAGCATCAACTGAAACATCCATAAACTGTGAGCTAAATAAACGTTTATCTCCTTAATTTGGGGTGTCAAATATTTTGTCCCAGCAAGGAGAGAAAGTCATGGAGACACACAGCTTACTGGAAGTTTCAGGATTCAATGAATGCAGTCCTAAGAGTGCTAGAAATTCACACAGTAAAGCCTCACATTAAGAAAACAGAATGATCTCAAATAAACAACTTAATCTTGAAGCTAAGACTAGAGAAAGAAGAACAAATCAAACCCAATGCTCATAAGAGGGAGGAAATTGTAATAATCAGCAGAAATTAAAACAATGGAGACTAAGAAAACAATAGAAAAAGCCAATGAATAGAAGAGTTGGTTTTCTGAAAGATAAAATTGACAAACCCTTAGCTGCCCTTATCAAACAGAAAAAGACTCAAATTCATGCAACTGGGAAAGAAAAGGGTGAAATCACAATGGATCCTGAAAAAATCCTGAAGAGCATTGTTGACTACTTCAAGAACCTGTCATTTATTAAGACAGAAAAAAAGTGGACAGATTCCTAGATATATATGAATTGCTAAAGCTGATTCAAAAAGATATAAAAATTCTAAGTAACCCAATATCAGTCAATGAATAAAAATGTAATTGAAAATTTACAACAAAAGAAAAGCCAGATCCTGATGGATTCACTGCTAAATTCCATAATAAATTTAGAGAACTTGTAATACCACTAATGGTGAACTTCTTTAATAAAATTGAAAGAGAATTTTACTCTGATACCAAAACAAAAGAAAGACTCAACCAAAAAAGCAATGGATAGGCCAATCTCCCCAGTGAACATAGATGCAAAGTCCTGAATAAGTTACTGGCAAACAAAATGCAGCAAATTATCAAGAAGATTATACATCATGACCAAGTAGGATTCATCCCAGGGATGCAGGGATGGTTCAACATATGCAAATCAATAAATATAAACAGAGTCAAAGACAAAATCACATGATCATCTCAATAAATGCAGAAAAAACATTTGACAAAGTCCAACACCCATTCATGATAAAAACCCTACAGAAAAATTGGAATAGATGTTCTTTATTTGAATCTGATAAAAGCCATCTATGACAAACCAATAGCCAACATCATAGTAAATGGACAAAAACTGAAAGCTTTTACTCTAAAATCAAGGACAATACAAGGTTGTCCACTATCAATACTCCTATTCACTATTGCTGGAAATGTTAGCCTAAGTAATTAGATAATGAAAGGAATAAGGGTAGGAAAAGAAGTTAAGTTATTATTTTCAGGTGACATGATTTGCTACATTGAAGACCCAAAAAACTCCATCAAAAGACATCTAGATTTAATAACCAAATTCATTAGTATAGTTACAAAGTAAACACCTGAAAATCAATAGCATTCCTATATATAAACAATAAACTCATTAACAGAGAAATTAGGGAAACCATATCTTTCACAATAGCATCCAAAAAAGTAAAAAACTTAGGAATCAACCTAACAAAGTAGAAGATTTATAAATTGAAAACTATAGTATTCTGAAAAACAAGCTCAAAGAGGATACTGGAAGAGCCCTGGCTCATGAATAGGAAGTACCATCATTATTAAAATGGCCTTCCAACATTATTATGCAGATTTTAATATAATCCCAATTGAAATAACATTAACATATCTCACAAACCTACAGAAAATTCCTAAAATTCATGTGGAACCAGAAGAGACCTGGAAGAGCAAAGGCAATTCTGGGAAACAAAGGCAAGGCATGGGGCATCACAATCCCTGACTTGAAATTATACTACAAAGCTACAGTGATAAAATCAGCATGGTACTGCCAAAAAAAAAAAATCTGAGGATAAATGGAACAGATCGGAAGATACATAAACAACTTCAAACACATTCAGCCATCCTATCTTTGACAAAGGGGTCCAACATGTGTTCTGGAAGATAGCCTCTTTAATAAATGGTATTGGAAAGACCAGCTTTCCTCATGACAAAGACCCATGTCTATCGCCATGCACTAAACTAAAATAGAAATGGATCAAAGTTCTAAATATTAAAATAGAAACACAATAGGCTGGAAGAGAAAATAGGCAAAACTCTTGAAGATATGGGTGTAGGCAAAGATCATGAATAACATCCTGCTCATACAGGAAATAATACAAAGAATCAACAAGTGGGATCTCGTCCTATTAAAAACTGTTGTGCAGAAAAAAAAATCATGAACAGAGTCCAAAGACAACACACAGAGAAAAATTTTAGCCAGCTGTCTCTCAGACAAAGGACTAATATCTAGAGCATGTAAAGAATGGAAAAAACCGGCCCCTCCCAACCAAAATTAAAGACCTAATCCAAGAATGGAGATGTGAAATAAATATATACTTCTCAGATGAAGAAATACAAATGGTGGCAAATAAATACATGAAAAAATGTACAGCATCACTGGTAATTTTTAAGATATAAATTAAAGCAATACTGAGATTCCATCTCATTCCAGAAAGAATGGCTATCAAGAAATCAACCAATAACAAATACTGGCTGGCATGTAGGGAAAAAGGAACCCTTTAGATATTGTGAAGTAGAAATAAAATTTTCAAAAGAAAAGATGAACTATGAAGGGGGAAGGTGGAAAGGAAAGAAGTGAAAGGGAAAAGAAATGACAAAGGAGGAAATTGGAACCAAAGCTCTATAAATAAGGCCAGGAAGAGGGGTGAAGGTTGGGGAGGCTGTGGGGAAAAGAGAAATGAATATATATCATGTACAGGTATAAACGTCCAGTGTGATCATTGCGATATCTAAAGTGTACCGATATTCTTAGTAACAAATTTAAAAAAAGAAAACTAAGCTCCAAATGGAATCAGAATGGCATGATGTGGAGAAAGAAACAGAAAGAAAAGGAAAAAAGACTGAAGCAGAATAAGATATACCTCAGCCTACAACAAATAATCTAGGAAGAGAAGCAATGAAGAAAAAGGCAACACTTCATTTGGATTCGTCAGTCAGTTGCCCTGGGAATGTGAAACACGTACGTTCAGGAGATTAGACACATTCACTTCATGGCTGGGGGCCACAGAAGTTACGTATGAAAAATACTGCTGAGGGAAATTACCTAAGGTCAGAAAGATGAATCACTGAATTAATAGGATGATGCCTCCGATTTCCACAAAACTTGCCAAGTTTCTAGGAAAATGTAAAGAAAGCTGTTATCACAGAATTAAGTTGAAATGAACTTCTTAAAAAGGAGATTGTAGAAATACAAGCCATCTCACTCAACATTCCTGTAGTTCAAATTATTTTCTCCTACGGGAACATGCTACACACCAAACATACCAACACAGTAATTCCTCTATCAGGCAGGACAGACAGGCTGCTTTTGGCGAGGGTTGTTTACCAGGAATCAAACTCAGAACCTCATGCCTGCCCAGCAGGCACTGTATAGCTGAGCTATATCCCTAGGCCCAAATCAGCGATCAAACTCAGGACCTTGCACTTGCCAGGCAGGCATTTACTCCACTGAGCTACATTCCTGGTCATAGACAGGCTGCTTTTGAAGATGGGCTCAAATCAGCACACAGTGGCCAGAGTCCTGCTGTTCCCCACACCTACCTGTAGAGGAGCATCTGGATCCATAGTAAACGGTGGGATCTTGTCAGCCCAAGGCAAGAATTTCTTAGTTTTGTGGTCCAGATAATAATCAAAAATTGTTCCCTGGGATGGAAACTTCACTGCTTTCATCTCTTTATGCCACCATCGACTAAAGTCAGCTTGATAATCAGAAAGCTGAGGAGAACAAGAGAAATCCTTATTTCACACTTAAAGGTAACTTTGCAAATACACAAAGCTTCAAATCCTGCTCAAGCCAGTGACCACAGCGCACAGAGCCAAAACCATCAAGGAAACTCCAGATATGGAACCAAACATCGCACCAAGAAAAATTGCACTAGACATTGCTGTGATGAGTGACACTACCATAGAGGCACAGAGCTTTGTGCCACACAGCCATGAGGTACAGATTTAGTGGAAACCATCCTAAAAAGCAAGGTAAAGTCAGGGGAACTATAGGGTCCTCCTCAGTTAGGTTATTCAATTCAATGGTGAACTGTTATTCAAAGTATTATGCTGGTTTCCACAGCACAATGGTAATAAAATAAATAGGCATTGATTTCTACTAATTTTTGTACAAGTTCATGGCAAACTAAGAAAAATTAGGGTAATGGAGTATTTTAAAATGGGCATCATTATTTGATTCAAATACTTTTTATCTGTATAGCTCTTTGACCCCTTTGTTAAAATATTTTTCCTATAAATTATGGTGGCTGCAAATAGTGCTTTTTAAAAAAATGTATTTTGTACAGGGTCTCACTATGCAGTTTAAGCTCATAGTGATCCTCCTGTTTACAGCCTCCCCAGCGCTGGGATTACAGGCATGTGCCACTGCTCCTGGACTCCGGTGGCTGGCTCAGCATACCCGGGGATGGCACAGCATGTGGTGCCAGGGATAGAACCCTGGTCCCTGGTTCTGCCTAAGCAAGCACTTAGTCCACTGAGTTATCTTGCCAGCCCGAGCAAATAGTACTTTTGATAAATTCCTTCACCTCAAAAAGTAAATGCTGGCGATTGTATTACTGTCACAAAACAGTACTGAAACACTGCTGGACTTTAACAGGCTACTGGGAATTCCTCCTTGAAGAAGCAAAGAGAGGAAGGCAGGGGCTCACTTCCCACCAGGAAACAGAAAAGTCCAACAGAAAACACAGAGAGCAACTCCCGGCCTGTGAAAGGACCACATGGAAGTGATCAGGCTATCTGGACTAGGAGGTACTGGTTTTTATACAATGATAGGTATATGTCCTTGATCCTAAAGGTTAAAAAACCAAAGGGAATGGTAATTGTATACCAGTAACAACCAAAACCCTCATAAATCCACAGGATTACTTGACCCAGGGTCTTATATCCATAGGATAGCCTGTCCTGGTGAATTTTGGTAAAATCTAAAAACACTATGCGTGTCCATTGCCTTTAGCAGCTGCGCCCTTTATCCAAGACCACAACTTCTATTTGTGAGAAAAACTTTTTTTTCAGTGACATCTTTGTGTCCATGGACGATAGCCTGCTTTCAGTCCTGGATTGGTCACACATGCAGAGACACAGGGAGGATGGCCACAGATAAGGATGTGAGCCGGGCTGGGAGCAGAGTGCCCTGTCACTGTCCTCCAGTCCCCCATTCATTCTGTCATGAATTCAAGCTCATTTAACTTGTTTTCAGACTACCCTGCAATGGTTGATACTTTGTATCACCTTGAGTTTAGGATTTCAAGTGACTCAGCAGGGGGCCAGGGTTCTCACTTGGTGAACATCCTCATACCATGCAAGAGGGCAGGGAGAAGTGGAGAAGGCACCAGTGCTGCGCTCCCTACCCCCGCCTCCCACCCCCACCCCTGCCACCCCCTTTGCTCCTGCTGTTTTTGCTGCCTTCTGTTGCCATAAACTGTTGCCCTCTGCCATGTGCCACCCTGCCTTAGAGCTAGCCGATTATAGACTGAAACTTCCACAAACTATGAGCTAACTAAATTTTTCCTTCCTTAAATTTAGGTGTTGGGTACTTTGTCTCAGCAATGAGAGAGAAGTAACCAAGAGAGGCAGCCTAGCCGTGGCATTTTATCACCCTGTAAAATCTAGTCTTAAGCCAAAGCAGGCTGGGCTGAAATAATTCACAGGTTGTGTCCTTATCTGGCTCTATTTTTTGTACCAGTGTACATGTGACTCCTGTTTTTCATCAAAATGTACTAACAGTTACACTGGTAAAATTATTTTCATTGACAAATCTTTATACTTTTCTATAAAATGCATTTGCTTTACAGCACAGAAGCAAACAAGCAGGATCTCAGTCCTCACAGGGTCTGTCTGGGAGGTGTAGGGACAGGTGATGGGGAAAAGCAATCGAATACACAGGAAGTATGTAGGTCCCTTACATGTAAACCAGCTTTGCGCAAGAGCACCAGGGTGACTCACTCTAACGTAACAACTGGAGAAGCCAGCTTCATGGACCAGACCCACAGTGGGGGACCTGTGTGGCCCATGACAAGGCCAAAGCATCTTGTGGGACGGGTAACAGCACTCAGTGTGCCCAGCTAACTGATGGCTGGCTGCCCTGAGGTCACTGCTTGTGTGCTTCAGTGACATCCCAACCCCACAGCGTTTCTTGGAAACACTGGACTTTAGAGTCATTCAAGAAGTGTAAAGATGGACACTACAATGTTGACTACTTATTGTAGAAAGCTGTATTATGGGAGAAGACAAGCAAGATGCAGCTTGTGGTGAACACCACTAGCCAAGGAAATTGGAGAGGTTGAGGGAGGGAGTGCTGGGAGGAAGGGGAGAGCTCAGGAGGGCGAGATCTCCGCTGAGCACCAACTTCCTGACCTGCAGGCCTGCAGAAGGTGAAGGACGCTAGAAGAAAAACCATGGAGGAAGTGGAGTTCAGCTGGTCTCTGTGAAGGAGAAACCCCCACACAGAGGCAGCTGCCTTCAAGACCACAAGATGTCCCCTTGTGTGGCTTTCTCCCAGCAGCACCGGCTGCTCTTCAGAGGCACTTGGAGAACCGAGAGCTTGAAATGTGGCTTCTCACAAGGGTTGCAACGAGACCTATGAGGCCTGGGGAGGTTCAAATGTATCTATAGATGTAAGCTATGGTGACTTAGTGACAAGAAGTAGAACCAGCCCACAGGCTGCATCAGCCATTTACTTTGGAAGTAGCATTGAGTTAAACCAACAGAAACACGGGTCAGTCTTATGTGAATCCCACGTACATGAGGAATGTCTCAGAAAACCAGGAAAGCATGTGTAATCTATTCCTACCACAAGGATTCCAGGTACCAAGGGAGCACAGCGACCATGAGAGGTTTTGCGGTTCCACAAAGATGTGGCCTCTGAGAGAAACCAACTTGGGTGTGAGCCCTGCCACTGCCATCTCTCCAGAGAGACCATGGGCTCAGGGCTTCCCTGCTTTGAGCTAGAGCTTCCACTACCCACACCCTGAGTGAGAATTAGGACAGAAGTCATGGGAGAGAAAAATCTACTTTAGAGGTGGATGGTGGAGATAAGACCAGCATGTTTCCCACAGCTTGATGTATCTGAGCAGTGTAAGAGTGTGCATGCCCGTGTGTGTGTGTGTGCGTGTGCGTGTGCGTGTGCATGTGTTTCGTGTTTCCTATAAGAAATGAGAAGCCTCCAAAAGACTATGAAGAAATGGTGCGCATATCACAGGTTCACTTTGAGCTGAAGGAAAGACCAACAAAAAGAAACTGTCAGAGTTGACTGTGGCTCACAAATACCAACCCTGGCACTGTGTGTGACTGATCAGAGCGAGAAGTGACAGGAGGGAGAAGGCTTTCTGGAAGGTCACCATATGCTATAGTCTGAACCGCTCCCTTCCACTAATAGCGCACTGACAGTATCTGGAGATGAAGCTTTAGGTTTTCACGATGTCACGACAGTGGGACCGTCATGATGGATAAGTAGCTTATAAGAAGACACACAGAGCACTTTCTCTGTTACATGAGGATATGTGAGGCCCCAACAGACAGGAAGAGTCCTCTCCAGAACCAACCCTGGTGGCAGCCCAATCTTGGACTTCAGCTCCTAGCACCAGAAGGAATAAACTTGTTATGTAAATAAGATTTGCTGTGGTGGCCAAGCTGACATTATGAGGGTCTGGGGGAATCTAAAGATGACCTGTTCCTGAATTAATGTTGTAGCGATGAGGAAAGGGAGGAGGCTGACTTAACAGGGGCTTTGTACAGAAAACTGAGTGACTGAGATTATGGGATAAGAAAAAGAAAGTGTTCCCAGGTTAACTGGAGCAGCTGGGAGGAAAGCATTGCTAAAGAGAAAAAAGTAAAAATAAAAACAAAGTGCAAATGGGGGTGGGGCAGTGCTGTGTCTCAGGACATAGACGTGATGGCCGGACATGGGCAGAAACACGCAGCCTGGAGCCCAGAGCACGGCAGGTAGGCTGGGCTGAAGGCTACCAATGTGACCTTGCTGCTGATGACAACGACCAACAGCACCAGTAGGCCTGACTGCACAATGCACGGGCTCAGGAGAAAACAGCACAAGTAGTAGAGACTTGCAGTAACTAAGAAAGTGGACGTGGTGAATGTTTAAACTAGAAAGAACTTATAGTAAAAGGCACATGCTAGTAATAAAGAAATCAGTGTGCTAAGACTGAAGGAATCTTCTGAGAGAGATGAATGGCAATGCATCTTTTTACTGTAATCATTTAAGTTTAAACATTCGCTGTAGTTTTTGTTCATGCCTCAAACAGCAATTCCACTTCCACAAATAAGAATGCTTTTCTGTACCATCACTCAGCATACCTGATCCCGCACTAGGGTGCCTCCAAATGCCCAGATACAGGCAAAGACAAAATAGACTTCATAAACTTCTTTTGGGCTGTCAGAAGGCACGTTTTCAGGAGTCAACAAACAATCCAGAAGAGCGCAAATAGTCTGAAGAGAAAGAAATAGCAATCCATTTAGGGCAGTGGTACTGTAATAGTTAACAGGTTCAAAGGACTTTGTGACGCCACTTATCTTAGGAGATTATATGATTTTCAGAATTCTAAGCAGTACATTGTGAAATACAAAAATTACTGCATTGCGTGTCTAAGTCAATAGTGGAATGTTGTGGTCATTTTTAATTAACTCGCTTTTCTATGTAATAAGCTATTAAAATAAGTTTAAATGATTCAATTATAACCACTGGATAAATCAGAAATGCACATGAACAAATATGGAAAAATAAAAGTATATCTATGTTCACTTTTTTATAAGTTGGGAATAATATCAATGAAGCATTCTACAATCTACTTTCCTGCTTAAGCACATATAGAAGATGTCTTTCCTTGTCTGTAGCATTGGGAATGACTTCCTAAGATTGAACTGCATGGACAGACAGACATTTATGAACAATTTCCCTCCCTGCAGACTTGTGGTAAGCCACTTCCCAGCTTCCTGGCAGCCATTTTTCCACCTATTGTTGTAAATTTAGACCACTGGACTTAACCTGCAACACTTTTTTGGACAGAGGATTAAATTTAACCTTGAAAGAAACACTCATCAGGCATTTGTTCTTCATGCCTTCCAGCGGAAGCAGCATTTTCTGTTGGCTCTAAGCATCCCCAAATTCAGAGCAAGCTTGTCAGTTCTGAGAGAAGCATAGCTGTAGAAGCCCTTACCACATGGAATAATCATGCTGGATAGATTTGGGGGCTAGTTCCCTAATGCACAAAAATAGCTGTCATTAATCAGCACTGGCTCAGCCCCTTGACCCAAACACTCTTGCCCTAATTTGTGTGGGCAGCAGTAGAATTTTATCATGAGCACGGAGAACCAGGCAATCACGTTATAGTGTCCGTGCTTTGCTTTTCTAGCCAAGAAAGATGGAAAACTAATTTTTTTTCATGTGAATAGCTGAGCACTTGTTATATGTTAAAATCTCTCTTGACTTCTTTCTTACATTGTGCCACGCTTGCCAATTAGAAATAATCTTTTAACAAAACCAATTTTTCATCAAGAGAAATAGTGCAAAACCTGAAAGCTTGGCTATTTCTGCACAGAAACATGTTGGTTACAAACAAAACACAGACTGAGAAGTCACAGTGTGAGTTTATTAAGTGAACACTTTGTCTACTAAGTCTGAAGATTTTATTTCTCTTGAAAACAGTACTGGAACACATTTTGAGCTTTGTGTCAGAAACAAATGTAAATTATATTTTAATGAACACTCCAAAAGAGTCATTATACTTTACGGAATGTAAAGAAGTTTCATATACTGGGAAACAGACATGTTAATTTTTTAAAGATAATCATTTTAAATTAGTCTCTTTTCCACTCATTTTCACATCAAATTCCTAACCTCATGAGCAACCACAGAAAACATACTCTAAAACAATGATGTAAAAGGAACTAAGGATTAAATGCTATTTCTGCAGACTATAAAAGAAAGAAGCAAGAGCAAAAGTCCTATTAATTCCTTTTGACCTATTTTCACACTACTCTTGAATGAAGAAGTTCACACCACAGAGAATCACACAAACACACAAGTCAACTTGAGAAAGAACACCATCATGCTTTAGCAAGTATTACGCCAGAGGAAGTCTAATTAGGCTAACCACATAATTAATTCATTATGAATAAATTCAGACCTGCTTTCAGAAATAAATTATACCTCAGATAATTACTGTTGAATACTATCGTTTACTTAATTGGTGTGTGAATTACCCAAAAACTTGAACTTTCCCTTCTTTTTATGCTTGCAACTATTTCTAATTTAGCTTCAAACAAATTTGGTAACATAGTAACTTAATAGTAACACAGTACTTAGAAACCAATTTTGCTCCTACAGGAATAGGAAAAAAAGGTTTCAAATTGTAAACCTGTTGTGAATCTGATACACGTACAGGCCAGGCCGGTGACAGTTTTTCTTCCTGCTGAGATTAGGAACACAACCTCTACTTATGTGTACTGTGAATTGTTTTCATTTTCTTTCATGACAACAACTCATATATTCCCTGTCTCACAATGAGGATCAGAAAAAAAAATCCCTGGAATATGATGAACTCTTTGTGCCGACTGACACACCTTCAGGAATATTTTTGGGAGAAGTCCGTGGGTGGCGATACCTATGTGGAAAAATTCAGATGCTTTCTCTTACCACCTGACTGGCATCTTTACTTTTACAGATTCATTTTATGCAGAAAACATATTGGGTACCTTCTCTAGGCAGGATATATAGACTCTAGAAAAATAAATAAGGCTGTTTCAACTTTTTTTTTTAATAATTTTGTTCTAATACACTTGGGAGGAACTTGATTCAGTAAATAGGAACTTAGAACTAGGTCAGTTTCTGTGGACAGAAAATGACTAAGTTCAGAGGCCTAGAGCCGAAATGACAACAGTGTGATGCAGTGTGTTACTCAAAGGGGCTTGCAAAGAGCTGCAGCCCAGCCCTGGGGCTGGGGGTCGGGGGACTGGAGCAACTTAACAATTCTAGAATGCTTTCCATCTTCTTGAGCAAGCAAAAACTTTGTCCAGGTCATGCTCCAACAGGACTAGAATGTCGCACGGTGCATTTGAAGACAAACCTGGACCAGGCTGTTTTCTGGAATAGAGGTGATGGTTTTAAAGCTGGTTCTCAGCTTGTCCAAACATGCAGGAATGTATTTATCGAAAAGAATAGTTAAATTGGCCTTTTCTGATTGATGCCGCCTTCGGTCAATCCAACTGGCCACATACCTGAAAAGGAACACAGAAAAGCTTTTACAGAACACGAGGCTTGAAAAGCAGAATTCCGCCGTGTCCAACGCTCCCCCTTCAGCACAGCTTGGTGCAGCACTTCACAGACATATTTAGCGCATTCGCTCCATTTCTCAAACTGCAAGTACTTTTAAATGGCTCTTTAAAAACTTGTTTTAATGGGCCATTTTTACCTTAATGAAAAGAATGTAAAAGAAACTCCTAATAGTGCTTAGAAGTCAAACATAATAGATAATAAGTAGGCCATTACTGCGCGTTTAGAAGGAAGTACGGTTTGTCATTTCCTAAGGGACGGAAACTATTTTCATGGTGGAGGCCTTATTTATGAAAACAGCTTGGCATCTTTCTTGATTAATCTTGGCATCAATTATTTAGTAATGAGAAATCAGTTACACATAAAGAGGAGAAAATTCCATAGGAGCTATTTTAAATTTCCTCCTATTTGAACTAGGCTCCATGTAACGCCAACTTGATAGCTGATAATGTGTTTCCCATAAAGGGCTCTGAAATGGTTATCTCATGATAAGCATTAGCTTTTGAAATATACTTCTACACATAGATGTATATACATACATTTATGCATATGCATAAATATAATACATGTATGCACATATATATCTCAGGTGTTTCACGAGGATCAGAAAATCATATACAAGTGTATGTATACACACAGACACACACCAGAGGCTTATATATAATCCCATATGTACTGTATCTGGAACATGGAACATTAATTTTGATACACTAAATAACTTTAACACCTTAAACTACTTATAATACAAAGCAAAGCATGACTGCATGACTTCATGGTATCCATAATTGTTTCTAGGATGAAATTAAGAGATGCTAAATGAAAAAAAAAATCTCTCACAAAGATGTGATGAAGCAGGTAGCAGTGATAATAAATACAAACGGCTCCCAGTATAGGAGCAGCGTGGCCAGGGACACTTCATGGCTAACCTTTGCTTTAAAAAATTAGGTTTTTCATTTTGAATATCAGAAGAAATTAAAGCAAAATGATCATGTTACTAAAAGCTCCCTGTGTTTTTCATGAGCTATTGCTATAGGGTTTTATTAGATAGTCAACAACTTTACACTATTAGGTTCACCAAAAACTTTTTGGGGCTAACAGGGATGGTTTTTAGAGGGAGTCCAGTTGCATGAGAGTCATTTGGTAAAGTGACTCTGGGTGTCAGTGATGGTGGGTGCCATGGGACAATTCAAATAGGTAGTAAGGATGGGGACAAACTCTTTTTCCTCCAGAAGAGCTTCAGGTTTACCAGACAAAGTCTCAGGACCAGAGGCCTGGAAGCTGTCTAGGTAGCCAAAATCTTCTGGCCTCTGAAATCTTGTCGATTTATTACTCAATAGTCTGGGAAATCTTCCTACACATAGTGCAGCCTGCACGCGAGCTTCGGGTCTGTCATCCACCTGGAAGAGTGCGGAAGTCAGCAGTACAGGCTCCTGCTGCAGGCCTGTATGCAGGGCACACCTGGGTTGCGGAATCTCTGCTTCCGGAAGTATACACGGTCTACGGATAAAAGAATGAGACTGCAGGAGTAGAAGACGGAAAGCTCATTCAACACGGAGAAAATTACACAAAGCCCGAAGTACTTTAGGCTAACACAAGAGAGGAAAGGGGACAACTTACAATTGTGGCCATCAAAGTTATATAGCACTAAGCTCTTTTAGAATCAGATTAAACTCCAGATGCAACTTTAGTTTCTTATTATTATGTACAAACCAACTAATACATAATTTGGAAGATCTTACTTTCAATTTTGCACCCACCTTCAAATAATTTGTACAATTACAAATGAATTTTTAAAATTTATTACCTGTTTTTTCCTTTCTCTATATATTCTCATCACTTTTTTTTTATGAGCAGAATATATTTATTGAAAGAAAGAAGGCTCCTGTCCCGACAGAGGGACAGGAGGGGGGCCCGAGCAGGTAGTTCCCTGGGAAACTGTCTCTTCCAGGAACTTTTATAGTGTAAAACCATGTGAGGCTAAGGTAGAGAGAATGGGAACTCGCTTAGGTGGGCAGGAGGTGGGACAAAACTATGGTCAACCATCTCATCACTTTCTACTGACAAAAAAAAAAAAAAGAACAACAACAACAACAACAACAAAAAACCAACTGTCATTGACTTTCACCTTTATAAATTTTCTTCTATTTCTTGTTTCTTTCTTTCCCATTATCTCAACATACAAGGAACTACAGCTGGGCACAGTGGCACATGTGTGTAACCTTAGTATTCTGGAAGCTGAGGCAGGAGGATCACTGGGAATTTGAGGCCAGCCTGGGTTACACAGTGAGTTCAAGGCCCACCTGTACTACATAGAGAGATAGTGTCTCAAAAAAATAAATAAATAAATAAATAAATAAATAAAATAAAAAATCAAAGGGGCCGGGGAGATGGCCCAGTAGAATATGCGCTTGTCTGGCAAGCGCAAGGGCCTGAGTTCAAACCCTGGTTCTGCCAAGGGGGGAAAAAAGAAAAATCAAGTACTTGATTCTGCTAGTAAACTTACTTAAAACTCAGGACTAAAGTAGTATTTGATTACTTCAAATACATGAGGATATAGTTTTAAGAATATTGTTTAATCTTATGTGATGCATTTCTGTAAAGTGTGGACACAATATTAATTTTAAACAATATTAATTTTGGTTTTTGGCAGTAGAAAGTGATGAAAATATATAAAGGAAAAAAATACAGGTAATAAATTCTAAAAATTCATTTGTAATTGTACAAATTATTTGAAGGTGGGCGTAACACTGAAAATGATATCTTCCAAATTATATATTAGTTGGTTTATACATAATAACAAGAAACTAAAGTTACATTTGGAGTTTAATCTGATTCTAAAAGAACTTACTACTATATAACTTTGATGGCCACAATTGTAAGTTGTCCCCTTTCCTCTCTTGTGTTAGCCTAAAATACTTTGGGCTTTGTGTAATTTTCTCTTTCATGTTGAGAAACAAGCTTTCTGTCTTCTACTCCTGCAGTCTCATTCTTTTATCCGTGCACTGTGTATACTTCCAGAAGTAGAGATTCAGAAACATAGTTTGACAAATTTTAATAAAAATGTCTCGTTCCAAAAAGTTTAAATGAGGGCCAGGAAGATAGCTCAATGATATAAGTACCTCCCAGCAAGCCCAAGGTCCCGAGTTTGATCCCCAGTACTGCCAAAAAAGTTTAAATGAGAATGGTACTATTTTTACTCCTTAAAAGGAACCCCATGATATAAATATAGTGCTTCATAATCTCTCCTACACTTAGTATTTTTTCATTATTAGTAGCATAGTTAGTATGTTTGAATACTAAATACTAATGCTTATAGTCAAGTTCTTCCCTCTGGTTCTTTGGAGAAACAATAATTTAGGCCTCGAGTAAGGGAAGCAAGAGATGAATGAGAGGCATCTTACTTAGCAAGAAAGCAAGGTGCAGAGACTTAAAGGACAGGTAAGAAGTCGGAAGAGACTGGCTTGAAAGGAAGGGCTCCTACTGGTACCATTTTGTGACAATATGAACCCCAAGGAATCTTGGCAATGAGGTTTAAACTCACTGAACTAATAAGAAACCATGAATGAAAAATTGTAAGGAGGAATAAAGGAAAGGAAGAGAGGAAAGCAGATGTGAGAAAAAAGGTGTTCACAGAAAAATGTCACGCAATATACGTGAACAGAATGAGAAATATACGTGACTGAATGAGAAAATCACTACTTCACAGCTACCAGTGGGCATCCTCTGAGATACTTGCCTTGCTCTCTCCCGCAGTGTAAGTGCGACATTAAAGGTGACAGTAGAGGCACTGTGTGCAATGGACACAATGGAGTGCAAGGTATTTGTTTTGATGCTCAGTTCTAGTTTTGTTTGTTTGTTTTTTTTTAAAGTACAGAGGAAATTACTGGGATAGCTAGCATGATTTGTAAAATGGTAGTTTATCTGATAATTTTTTGGGGGCGGAATCAGAGATTGAACTCAGGCCCTTGCACTTGCCAGAGAAGCGCTTATTCCGCTGAGCTCTCCCTGGCCCCTTTATTTGATAATATTAAGAATAAATTTCTTGGGTATGTTATATTGTATTCATATAGGAGAATATCTTTTTTCTTATGAGATGAATGCTAAATTACTTAGGGATGAAGTATCTTATTCTCTTCAACTTACTTTTAGATATTTGTATAAAAATAACAAGAAAAATGTCTGTATATCTATATGAGAGAAAGACAGAGACAGAGAAAATAGTGTAGTAAAATGGTAACAAGAGGTGATGGAGGACTAAGTCTATAGTTGTATCTTTTCAACTTTTCATGCCTTTGAACATTTTAAAGCAAAAATGTTTGGGAAAACTGAAACAAAAGAATGGTTTCAAAAACTGAGTTAATTATCCTATTGATCTTAGAAGATAATGGAATATTGAATCAATACATGTAAAACTATCACACTGTAACTCTAAAGAAAGGCAGTATACTGCTTAATACTTATGGAGTGAAAATAATACCCTATATCTGAAGCAGCCACTTTGTGCTAGCTTACTGCAACTTTCTGGCGATAGGAGGTAAAAATATTAAATCATCCTGCAAAAAAGATTTTCATATTTTATTTTTTGTAAATGACTTGGCTGGATCCTTTTGTCACACAAATGAAAATTAAACCTATGTAACAATCTTAGATAACACAAAAACTTGTATAAAAGTTAAAAGTTAATAGACAAGTGGAAGCTATTTAATTCAGCTCAGAATACAAATCGGATCTCTCTTCAGGCAACCTGGGTAGGACCTTTGATGTACTGAATAAAAGTCCTTTTCTAAGGAGTGAGCTGAGCTTTTGTTGGTACAAATCTCTCCTCAGTGTGCCCGAGTTGGAATGACAGGGGAAGTGGGAGCTGTGAGGGCCACCCCAGCAGGGTGAGGGATCCCCGAAGGAGGTGAACACTGCCTCTTGCACAGGAGCCTGTGCTGTCTGGGGAAGTCGGGGAGCACTGGGGAGACTTCAGCCAACCCCAACCAATGGAGGCACTCAGGAGACAGCCTTCTCCTGGGCCAAGGAGCAAACAGCTCAGGAGCAACTCTCCACTGGGGCATTTATAGAACTCTCCTTCCCCAGCCACATCCGGTAAAGTTATGTCAAACACTGAAGCCTGGGGGTGGCTGTACTTTGCTGGAGACTTGAAGATTTGACTGTAGTGAGCAGTATCCGTGCCCAGAGGAAAAGTGTCAGGGAGAAGAGCATATTTGGCAGGGAATAGCTCAGGTTATAAAAGGCTTGAAGACCAGCTGGTTATAAAGGAGTGGCCAGGAGTACAGAAACTGAGGGAGAGTGACATGGGTGTGCTGCACTGTGGCTCTAGACTGTCACCAGCAGGCCTGTGTGTTAAAGCCTTGATTCCCTACTGGGGTGCCCCTGCTAAGAGGAACGGCCCTTCTGAGGAGTTCTGTGGGGACGTAGGTCCTTGCAGAAGTACCGGACATCTATCCTTCCTTTCTCCCTTGGCTGAAAGGTGAAGAGTCATGGTCCACCACACGCTCCCATCACAACGGGCTGCTTCACCACCAGTTCCAGAGCAAAGGAGGCAGCCAACCTCTGACTGGAACCTCTGCGACTATGGGCCGGGCCAAAATCAATAGTCTAGAAGTTCCTTATGCCAGAGATTTGCTAGGGAAACTGACTCACTCAGGGCAATCATAAGGAATGGTTACCACACCTGTGCCTGCAGGACAGTGGACAAGTGGCAGAACACAGAGCGAGGGAATCTCTCAGGGAAATCCATGGCCAATTGTCACCTGGAGTTGAGAGACACAGCTACCTGATGTGACCCTGCGGGGATGGAGCCTACAAGAGATACAGCCCGTCCTCCCTCCCCTTGTTTCCTGTCGGGGCCTCTTGTTATCCAAACCTACCAGTTGCTAGATGGCAGGGAGCCCACTAATGGCCTTACATGGGTCAGTCTCCTGGGGCACAGGGCAAGGTGAGCGGGAGGGAGGGCAGGTCTGCAGGGCTAGGCTTGACATCTGACATGGCAGCATGCCAGCGCCAGCACATGGCACTGCAGAGGCTCTCATGCTCCAGGTGGGACTGCTGCAGGTGGCAGATGACCATGCAGACACTGTGCAAAGTGTAAGCATTGGGAGAATAAGCCAGAGGGCCATAATACAATTGCTCTAACTACAGATCCTCTGCTATTCGTGTACATGCAAAGCAGGCACATACACACATACATCTTGCTAAATGGCTTATATTTAGGTGCTTAATTCAAGGTTTTATTTATGCATTCAAAAAATTTATGAGTTCTTAACACTTTCCAGCTGTTCAATCAAAGTATTATTCAAATTAAAAATGAGGAAGGCATCCATCCAGGTGCTAAACGAATAAATTAGCCTAATTAGCCTTCAATATAGTTATGCCTTCTTCAAATAATCATTTGAACCTAACAATAAAAACATATACAATGACCACAACCCAGCCTGATCACGGAATGAACAGAGGACTTACACAGATATTTTTATAAAAGAGGTAAGTGAATGACCCATTTGCACTTGAAAACAAATTCCGTGTCACTGATCATGACAGAAAAGCACGCCATATCTGTAATGGCAGCACCCCACGCCAATTGGCATGGTTCCTATCAAAAGACAAGCAAACAAACCAACCCCAAACAGTAGAAAATTACAAGCGCCGCTGAGGGTAGCATTGGTAGCGCAACTGTATGCAAGTCCCTTGCGTGCTGCGTGTGGAAAAGAAAACGGCACAGCTCCTACGGAAAACGGTATGGCTGGTCTTTAAAAGTTAAAAATAGAATTAACATATAATCAAGCAATTCCACTTCTGGGTATAAACCCAGAAAACTGGAATATGAAATCTCTGCATAGTGACATTCACAGCAGCGTCACTCACGGTGGCTAAGAGGTACGGAGGCCGAGATGTCCTTCAAGAGGTGAATGGCTTGCAGAATGTGGTACTGATATTCAGACTTGAAGGAAGGAAATTCTAGCACCTCCTATGACATGGATAAAGTTTGAAGAGAGCACGCTAAGTGCAATAAAAGGGCAGGTAGTGTATGGCTCTACTATGACAGGCACCCAGAGATGTCAAATTCAGAGACAGAAAGTAGAACAAAAACTGCCCAGGAGCCAAGGAAGAGGAACGAAGAGTTATCACTGAACAGGTACAGGCTTTCAATTTAGAAAGATGAAAACATTTCTATGTGTGGATGGAGGTGATGGTGGCATGACACTGTAAATGCACCCAATGCCGCTGAACAGTACGCTTAAAAAGGATTTAAAGGTAAATTTTATGTTATGCACATTTTAATGACAGTACAGAAAAAGAAATTAAGAAATACTCACGGATTCCAGCCCAAATCCTGTGGGTTCACGTACAGGACACCAGCTCTGGAGACAGTGGCTGGGGTGGCTGTCCGCAAGTGATGTATCTCAAACAGAAGCCGCATGGAGGGAGTGAGGGCCACCCGCTCATTGCTGGCCAGGGTCAGCACCTGGAAGCAGCATGGTGGTCACCAGAGGCAAACCCGCAAGGGAGCAGAGGACCGTCGCCAGCTCTCCATGGTAACAAAGCACTGTCCCAGCAGATGGGCCAAAGGCCGTGAATCCAGGTCTAAATTTATCTCTGAGGTGGCCTGACTGACCCTTGAGAAATAAAATCACCTAAATGGACTCATGAAAGCCAACCTTTAAAGGGCTACAGGAATTATTACTACGCTAAATATAAGTGAATTACATGGTAAAGCCTAAATAGGAAGGAAAATTAATTCTCTCTAGAATCTGAAACCTCACATTTAACAACTGCCCTATAAGGAATTCTTACTGGGACGCAGACCCTGGTCCTGTGTTTTACGCTATAGAATGTCTTAGCTCAGAAAGTGGTAATTACTGTTAATACATGGTAGTTACTATCTCGAATCCAGAAGAATGACGGTTACTGATTTTGCTTTTGCGACCCCACCAAATAGACCTTTGGTTACTTAACCAGAATCTTACAGATGGGTGCCATCACCTTTTGTTTTAGCTGGGGATACTGGATTAGCCAAGGCAGAATGCCTGGGAAAGCATTTAAACCCAGCCTGCAGCCACAGAGCTTAATAAATTTTCATACCTAAATTCCATCATTAGAACACAAACTCATTCTTTTATTGCCTAAGTATTCATGTTTCATCAAAGCACACATAAACATAAAAATTCAGGCCTATCTATTTTATACAACTGTTTCCCAACAAATAGATATATATCTATCATTAAAATTTATTATTTTATGGAAATAAAGAGACCATATACCCTTAAATTCTTTAACTGCAAAGTGAAGAGAATTATTGTATCAGAAAGATGTCATTTATCAAAATAGGGACAGTACAAGGAACACCACGATAACGAACAAAAATTTAGCAGTAACACCAACAAGTGGTGGGACGTTATGTTTAAGGTTGATCCTGCAGTACTGCTGACCTTATTATCATCCATGACTGTATTTAGTGATTCAATCCACATGGGGTCAATATCTCCATCCAGGACTATCCATTTTGGTCCATCATGGGTAAGAGTTGCTTGTTCTCGTAGAATAGAAGAGAACAGACCTGTTAAGTAAGAGTAAACAATGGCAATATATCATGGGATCGGTGCAGCTTATTTCTCAAATAGATTCATAGTACTTCTCCTGGAAGATCTTTTATTAACTAAATTTAAAAAAAAAAACATGTTTCTGCCTCTCTCTTGCGGGCCATGTATCACAGAGTGAAAGGCTCTGGATCTGGTTTTAACCATTTAGCAACAGGACAGTTTCACCTCCAGGGAAGGACTGTTCTCTTCCCTGAGATTTCCTACTGGTCAAACACAGATAACACTTCCTTCCTTAAAGAACAGTCGTGGGATTTACAGAAGGCAAGACATGTAGAACTCACAACTTCTACTAAATAAAGATGTTATGCTTTTCAACACTCAAGTTAATACCCATCTTAGAAGTATTGATCTATTTCATCTAGCTCCATTCTTGGATAACAATATTCCAGGGTCATAATTCTAAGTAGAAGTGCTACACAACTCTCTGACAATTTTGGACACTCACATTATATTGTCATTACTTAACAGATATATAGATAAAAACATTTTAACTCCATGGCTTTTCTGTTATTGCTACATATCTAAGTACATGGAGAATTTAATAGCTGCTGACTTTTCAAATTCAAGCACATAACGTCATAGTGAATGAAATTGCTTTGGTCTGTCTGTATGGAGGTTTCCTCTGTGAAGTGTTTTGTGTCAAAATAAGTGACAGCACCCAGTTGAACCTGCCACTATGATTTACAGGAAAGCCAGCAATCCTTTCTAATGACTGCTGATTCCAATTGAGCCCATGGAGTCTCAGCATACACAGATTAATAGTTTTCTACCAGCTATAGTTTCTTATAAAAAGAAATTAGACTAAGCCAGCCACTACTGTCCCACAAGTAAAAGAAAGAGTATATATAAAAGAGGGAGAAGACAAGGGGATCCTGCTTCAGATCAGGTCATCAGGGAAGACTTCTCAGATGCAATCAGACAAACACAGCTAAGGGTACCAGACAGATATGCAGAGGAAGAGGGTGACTGATGGCAGGACCACCAAGTGCCACAGTCCCATGATGCAGAGGTGCTTGGGAGTCAGGAGGTCGGACTGAGCAAATTGCAGTCAGAGACGGGCAGAGCATGGAAAATGAAAGCAGAGATGGTGAGGCAGCCTCTAATCATTAGCGCCTTGTAGGCCATGGCAAAGGGTTGAGTTCCAGGGAGGACGAGCTGTGCTTGAAACTGAAAGCTGAGAGATAATATCCTGATGTGAGCCCTCTGTGCTATGGGAGGACCAGGGGCTTGGACTAGAGTGCCATCTAGGGAGGACAGTCCTGGAGTTCAACATGTACAGTATTCTTATGTTCAAAACTATTCTAAACACAGGAAGTCTGAGAAAAGAGCCCCTCAAGGCCAATACCAGATCACAGAGTTACTGAAATGGGATGTCCTAAGGGTCCCTACTTAAAGCATCTGTTTCTCTGTAATACAGGTAGAGCATGCCTTATCTGAAATACTTGGGCTGCAGTGTTTCAGATTTCACTTTTTTCTGGATTATAAAATATTTGCATAGACTTTACCAGGTAGGCAACCTTCATCAAAAAATATGAAATACTTTGAAGTCACATACTTACATTCTAAAGGTCTCAGATTTCAGAGCATTTTAGATTTTTGTATTTTTGGAACAGGGATAATCGACTTGTCCTGTCCAGGCAGGAAATATGCTTGACTGAGTTTTGTCACGGGTCCCTAGAATAACCCTGTCCAAATCTCAGTGGGGATCCTACCTCAGGTACTTTTTTAGTATGCCCTGAGGCATCCATGTTTACACTGCTTCTGGATCTAAAGAGCCCTGAGGCAATTGATATAGGATGAAACAGAGCTCTGAGCACAGGTCACTGGAGGTAAATCAAGTCCGTATTGGAATCTAGCTTTAATTTTCACATTACAGACACCATTGTAATCTGCCGTAATTTCTAACAATGCCAGTAAGTCTGTGAGTGCAACTACAATTATTTTGTACTGAAAAATGTCTTTCTGGATAGAAAAAAGAGAAAATTTTAGCACACTGAAAGGGGAAACAGTGCTTGCCATCTCTCCATTCCCGGGTAGCGTGATGGATGAAACCAAAGAGTTCGTCTGTCGTCACAGCCTTAGGGTTTAAGTCATTCCAAACAGGCTTCTGCTGCATGCGAACGTATGTTCGGTTCAGTGTTCTCAAAATCTGAGAAGAAAAAAGCAAGTCAAACAATGAATGCTAAGGTAAGCTAAGATGGAAAAATAACAGATTTTCAGAGGATCTTTCCTCTTCGGTGTACATTACTGGGTACTCCATAGAATGTCTACGTGAAGAATGGTGCAACGTGCACGGGCGGCCTCGCATCTCTGTTACCACGTAGAGAAGTCCAGTCTCATAAACCCTGGGGCTCAGCTCACTCAGCCCTTCTAATCATTTAGAGTGGAGAAAGGCACTTTCATCACTAGACATTTTGCCATTTATATGAAGTTAAAAAAAAAATATATATATATATGCAATCATGTTTATAAAATCATACAGCCTGAGTTATTTAGATCAGTTGTTCACCAAACTTGGTCTGGACAAGAATCGCCTGGAGGACCATGGCTGGGCCCACCCAGGCTGACCGTTGTGCAGGTCTGGTAGGAGGCGTGTAGTCTGCACTTCCTGCAAGGGCCCCCTTGATGTCCTGATGCAGGTGTGGCCATGCCTTGGGGTCCAGGGACCCAGGGCAGTGATTCTCCACAGGAAGCTGTCTCGACGGAGGAGACTGGCTACATGACTGGGCTTCTAGTGGGCAGAGGCCAAAGGTGCTAGCACCCAACCCCCAGAAAGCTCCCTGTTCTGGGCTGAGAAACTGTCCTGCATGAAAACAAGGAGAAGCAGCCTTCAGAGGAGCTCACAGAATCGCTAGTCAGGCCAGGTCTGTTTAATCAATTGACACTGTAACCCAAATACCTGCCCAGCTGTCCCTTTTGCTCTCTGTGTTGAGCTATGGCTTTTGATTTCAATATTTATCACCCTGACCCACTTCCCGAAATTCTGGGACACAGAAAAACAAATGACAAACACTTTGGAATCATAAGCTACTGAAGAACACGGCCCCAGCTTCAGAGGTCTGGCTGTATCAGTTTAAGCACATACTGAACTGAAAAGAATAGGGGAAGACTAGATGAAAGGAATGAGGTGCCTTAGCTTATATTCAGCTTATATTTTTAGAAACCATTAATCTACTGGAAATTACAGAATTTAATTTTATCCTTCCATGAACTATAGCCTACGTCTGAATCATACTCCTAACAAAATGATTATAGATCTATCAGATGTCTACTTTAATATTTCAATTATTACCTTTTTCACTAAAAAAATTCCTATACAGAGCCTTCCTCTGCAACTGTTCCACTTTGGGTTCGGCTTTCAGTACTGGCAAGTTCCCCTGCACACCCATGTGCTCAAGCTCATAGGCCCATTCTGAGCATTTTTAGCTGTTGGCCACCACACATGTTTACATCCAGGCATCCTGCATTAAAATGCATGCAGTTTTGTATATTCCGTCTGCCAACCAAGAAAATAAGTCTGTTGCCAGGCCTGTCAGTAAAGCCAAACAAAATCAAGCAGTGAACTAAAAATGGGGGACGATAACACCCATCACTTGTCATCAAGCACAGCAAGTTATACATAATGTACCTAGCACAGCACATAATAAGGACCTCAAAAACACGAGCTCTTGCCACCTCCCTTTCAAGTTTTGTTTTGGCCCTGCAGTGGGGTAGCTTTCTGAGAGAGGACTGAAGGGAAATATTTGCATTTGTTTTTCTTAATGATATGGGAAGGGGAAACCAGGATCATCAGTCAAAGATCAGAAAGTAATTCTAAAACTTGGGAACAGGCCCAATTGAATCCTGCAGGCCACATACCATTTTCTGCAGTCTCTCACAGTGTTCACCCTAATTACAAGAATCCAGGTGACTATTACTGCCAGGGTGTAGGCCACAGTTGTAACTGCAGGAATGGGATGCTATGAATCTTCCGGGGAAAGCCTGATCTTCAAGTCACCCTACTTCTCTTAGGTGAATGCAGTGTTCTATTTGTTTTTCTCCTTCACAGTATAAAGGGGAACAATGTGAGTGGATGGAGGAGCAACGCTGGAGGCTCAGCTGCTAACCCAACATCATGCTGGGCTTTGCTGAAGGGAGCCCTTCTAAGCACTACTGAGCCCAGTCCCTGGCTGATAGGCAGGGGCCGGTCACCATACCTTACTCTTCCCTGTGCCTGCATTTCCAACCACAAAGACACAGTGCCGTACAGCCAGCAGCTCCTCAAGCTGGACAACCTGCAACCAAACAGTCAACAGTTACTGGTGTCCCTTCAGGAGTTGGTGACAAAATGACAACCTACCCATCACTACTCAATTCTTCTCTCTTTTCATCTCATGCCAGCTGCTGACGTCAGTGTGTTCAGGGAAAGTTACAACATCTCACAGGTCCAGGGTCCAGTTTCCCTTCCATCTCCCAAGTGGAGAACCCAGTAGAGAATAAAGCGAAAGCACTTTACTTCCCGGGCTAACTGGTACACAGCAGAGATAACCAAGAAAAACCAAGGATTCCTCATAAAGGTTTAAGCAAAAGCAGTATTGAATTAGTCATCATCTACAACTGAGTAATATTGTATGCCCCATAACATATCTCAAATGGATTTTATATGTATAGACTGTAATGTCCAGGAATGCTATCCAGATTTCCATTGTTTACTAAGCCCAAACTGAGTGAGCCCACAGGAGCCTTCGATAAGTCAGTATCTTCCCAAGCTATTTTAAGCATGCTGACATTCCTTCCTGTTAAAAGCACACACCAATGATTTTACTTCTAACTTTCACTAAAAATAGAAGGCAGAACAAAATAAATTTTTGGTGCATGCCTCCAGACAGTTTTATAAAATAATCTACTTACAGTTAAAAACCATGATTTATTCATATTTATGTTTTTAACTTCTTGCTGCATGGGACTACTACAATATTTACTTTAGTTAAGACTATCATATTAAAATGCTTGAAAGCATTTATTAAGATCACATGAAGGCCAGGGTAATAGGAGCTCATGTTTCAGCTAAATGCCGTATCACTTAAGCAGTCATTTGCTCCGCAAACCCCAAGGACGCCATAGAAAGCCAAGTCCGCTTTTACTTTGAGAATGAAACTCTCCTCCGGCTGCAGGCGTAGCTCCAGGGTGCACTGCCGGACCATCTGTTCAAAGTGCTGCTTTCTGCTCCGGGGCACATCCAGGGCCGGAAACAGGTCGCCAATCAGGCCCAGAAACACTGGGAAGTCGTCGGTCACTATTTTAGGCATATTGAAGTCCCTTAGAGCTCGCATGAGCACCTAGAAAGAAAAATAGAAAACATTTCATTAGAAAGCCAAAAGGAAGGACTTGGAGAGGTTTTGCCACAAAGAAATAGACATGTTTTATCTGATTTAAACACTATATGCATGTATCAAAGCATCAAATGTTACCCCACTAGTGTGTGTGCTCTGTTTATATTTTATGTATCAATTTAAAATACTATTTAGTGACGCAGTACTGTGGATTAAACCAAGGACACTTGCACTGCACTGTTTCCCTACACCAACAAACCTTCTTAATTTTTGAGACAGAGTCTCGCTAAGTGGCTAAGCAACCGAGGCTCGTCTTGAACTTGCAATTTTTGAGTGCTGGGATTACAGATGTGCACCACCACCCCTAACCTCAATTTTTTTGTTTGTTTGTTTGTTTGTCTGTACTAGGAGTTAACTCAGGGCATTACATTTGCTAGGCAGGCACTGCATCACTGAGCTACATCCCTGGCCCTAAGCTTTAATTTTTAAAAAGTCAATATGAGGTCTAACAGACCCCTAATAAGCTGAAGATACTGTTCTTAATTTTCATACTAAAACATGAAATACTGATGCAGTTTTCCAACTGGCATGGCCCTCTATCTACAGGGACATGAAATGCTTTCTGATTAACAACAGAACAGAAGGCTCAACTAATAAAATCACTGGTCCTCAGAACTGGGTCAGCAAGGAGGCTGCTCCCTTCCTGCCAAGGTTCTGCATATCTTCGTGCAGAGTCTGGGGCTCTTTTCAGCCTGGTCCCCTCAACTTCAGTCTGTCAGCTAACCAGGCCTATGCGATCATTTTGTCCAAAGTACTCTGAGACATCAGGATGATAACCGCAAACATTTTTAGCTTGTTTTTTTGCTTGACATTGGCCAAAAACCAAAGGATTTAGATTTTAAACACCAGGATGACATTTATAGAAAGAGCTAAGCATTCCATCAACAACAACCACAGAGCAGGAATTCAATGGAATGTAAGAAAATGTTGACTAAGAGGAAGAGAAATATTAGCAAATAAAATATCCCATGACACATATCTCTTAACATAAAAAAGAACTGTACAGACTGGACCTAGCTGTTTCTCTCTCTCTCGAGCCGTATGGCAAAGATATGCAGCAAAGAGCACCCCTTTCTCTCACTGTTCTTCACACAGAAGCTGCACAGGCGCTGCCGCCCTTCCTCACAGGATGGTAGGTAGAACACTGCCCTTTGGTCTCTGAACCACTATGCCCGTCACTGGTGCCGGGCAGCCCCCCTGCCCCTTCATCCTCTGTGCCCTTCTTCCTTCCTCTGAAATGGACGGACTCTCCCCGTTTAGGCCACATCTTCACTGATGCACACAGCTAATCTCCCAACTCACCTAATCAGATTACCTGAATGTTCCTGAAAGCAATTCAAACCATGATTACTGAATTACTTGATTTTAACGGTCAAAAGACTTCTTAAGACCGATATTGCAAAAGTACTTATAAAATCACATTTCCTTTTCAGATTCATAGTTTTGTACTCAAGAATTCTCATGACCTTTTGTCAGAAATGCCAGTCCTTGAGATATCCTGCATTCAGAAGAGACGCCTGGTGCCACGCATGCCACATTATCCTGGTACCCACTTCCACTTGTAAGAAGCTGTCTGGCTACTTCCTCAACAAAACTGTATCAGTGTTGTGGTACCTGATCTTCAGGTCGATTTTTATCTCCTCGTTTCAGGGCGCCAGCGACCACCAGGACTGATTTAATAGCACGAAGCCCCCAATCATAGTGATCCTAGAATAAAATCATGGGTAATTTTTTTTTTCTGAAAAACCATATGAAGAGATAAGATCCTCATTCCAGAAGTAACAGCTGAAAGTTAAAAAAAAGTTCAGAAACACCCACACTGTAATAACTTCAGATGTTTTCCTCATCTCTCCAAAACTGTGAAAAGCACATTCCTATGGTGGCTGTCCTGCTGTTCACTTCCTTGGTCAGCAAATCCTTTTTTCTGTAGCCCTTCCGGGCAGCTTTCGCTCAGGACTCCACCAGCCTCCCTCTCTCCTTTCCACAAACCACTAACTCAGGAGCTGGACTCTTGCATGTGGCTGCCTCCTACCACAGCCACACCTCTCCAGTACGAAGGGCTCCAACTTAATTTGGCATCACTAAGTCACCCCATTCCCAAGGGTGGCACTAAATAGAATAAAAACTACATTATTAAAATCCAATTATATGCCAAGGCCTCTCTGAGACTTCCACATTGTCCCTAAGGAAGGCTCTTCTTCCCACAGGCTCTGAGCTCTTGAAGGAAAGGTAGTAGAAGTGATTCTGGACACAGGTGTAAGAGGACTTGGTGAACATGTAAAGACTGCATCATTCCTTTGGCAAAAATGTTCACTGACTTTTCCCACAGATCCTTTCCAGAAGTTCAGAAAGGTACCGATGAACTGTGTTCCTACCTCAGCTTCCTCATGCTGGCAACACGCCTCTTCCAGCATCTCTCATTCATGTCATCTCGCTGGGTTTAAGAACGCTGTCCTGCTCTGCTCTACCATCCCTCCCTGCACCTTCCCATTGGCCTTGACTGCAAGTGTCACAGACAGTTAGGAGGACCTGCCTCTACGGGGTCCCCACCTCTTGCTAGGTGTGGACCATTAACATGTTATTTTCACTCAATTTCCTTTTATGTAAAACAAGCTTAATACTATCAAACTCATCGTCTTATGAAGACTTTTAAACATAATACATGGTATCTGTTCAAAAATGTTCTTTTTTCCCTTAAAAACATGGTGTTAGTTTTATTTGTTTTGTGTCATATTCTCCATCACTGCCAGCAGTAAGCACATAACTCAGATACAGGGGAAGCTTTCTAAATATTTGCACATTACCACTGGGAATGGATATGGTTGCAATTTCATGTTCCCTGGTTCAATTCTTTTTTCTTTTTTTAAAAAATGTATTTAGTACAGGGTCTCACTACACAGATCGTACTTGTAATGATCCTCCTGTTCTCAGCCTCCCAAGTGCTGGGATTATAGGCACGCGCCACCTGGCCCAGTCTCAATCACTGTCTCAGTGTGCCCCAGGGGTGGGGCCAGCATGGCACATCAGGGACTGAAGTTCAGTCCCTGGGCCTGCCTAAGCATGCATTTCAGTCCGCTGAGCTATCTGGCCAGCCTATTTTTTTCTCTTCTGAAGTTTTTTATTGTAGTGGTCACAAAGCTAAACTTAAAAGTACTGATGCTGACACATATATAATTTTTGTGTCACATTAGCAATTTCAGTGAACTGTAGAAATTTATGCCTGGAGAGCAGGGAGTAAGAGTGACCCACTTCAGAGTCAAAGGAATTATACTGCAAAAGCTAAAAAAAAAGCAAGCCAGTGCATAAAGGGCAGACAACACACCAGAAAATTTTCACATTTCTCAAGATATTCTTCCAGGAGTCAACCTGGATATTTACCACAGAGTATCCTTTAAGAATACTACTTTCTCCCACTAGAAAATAATATTCTCACCAAGAAAGGGAAGGAACATAAATCTCCCTTCCTTTAAAATAATAGCATTACTAACAAATAAAACCACAGAGGCCATTTATTAAAAAAAACTTGTATGAAATACACAAAAGATATTAGGGCACTTAAAATGCATCAAGTTTCAGAAAAATATTAAGGTTCATAGATACAAATTTTCAAGAAAATATAAAATCATTCCTAATGTCTGAGAACAATGTGAATGGTAAATGAGCCAACATATACATTTCAAAAACTGTTTGAATGGGCTGTAAAAACAAGAAAAAGTCACAAAAGCCTTCACCTGCTTGGACAGGAGCTCCCTGCAGAGCGTGTACAGCGCGATGAACTTCTGGGCCAGCGAGCGTGCATCCACAAACCCTTCAGCCACTAGCATGATCTCACAGATCAACTTGACGTCAGGAGCCACCATGGCACATGGTCTACAATGTAAATACGAAATTTAATTTTTTTTTTTTTTTTTTGGCAGAACTGGGGATTGAACTCAGGCCCTTGTACTTGCTAGGCAAGTGCTTATTCCATTGAGCCATCTCCCCAACCCCGAAATTTAGTTTTAAAATGTGGAAAGGTCACAAACCCAAATTGCTTAAGTCACACGTTAAGTCTGCACCAACACTCTCAGCACTCTGAAAGCCAGTCAAAATGACCTCTGCCAATCACACCCAACAAAATATTCTTTTCCACTAAAACACACCCATGAGGGCTGAGATACCAGGAAAAGTTGGAAAGTTGGAAATGGCAAAAGCCTGATGGAGGGGTTTAAAAAACCTTCTGCAGATGCATTCCATAAGCTACTGGGTTCTAATGTGCATGCTTTGGTGCTGGAGATTTAATAGAGGGTCTGCCCTACCCTGAGCTACTTCCCTAGCTTCTGGAGTACTTGTGCTGTAAGTTGTCACTGTGGAAGAGGGACAGCAATGTTCTACGGCGCTACAGGCCAGCCTGTACGTGCAGCTTAGGCTGTGCTGGTGACGGCTGAAGGGCCAGCTGTCCAGAAAACAGCTTTGCTGATTGCCATGAAATAAATCCTTCTGCCACCGCTGGCCTTAGGCTATCAACCCCCAGCTACACAGGGAGCTGGGACACAGAGGCTCCGCGGCAGTAAGTCACCAGCATATAGACAGCCCCCGGGCATGAGCATCAGTAACATAAGCAATTAGGCAGTCATGGGGTTTGAGAATCAACTGTTCTGTGATATAATGTATTAAATAAAATGTTGGTATATAATTTAGTATTTACTGTTTGTACTTAATAGCAGCAACACATGTAAAACAAAATTCCACTCAATTAAGTGCAAAAGGAGCAAATAAGCTCGTGATTTTAGACTTTTAAAACTGTTCATCCCAATAATATTTATCCACTTATTTTTGTAAATGTAAGTATAGTCTATGCACATCTAATTTTAATCCTAAACATTCTGCAGTTTTATTTGATTTAGGTTACTGAATACTACATCTATCTAAGCCAATCTTCTACTGTCTTTTCACATTTGTTCCTTTTCATCATGGTAGAGAAGGAAAGATAGAGTAAATGAGAGAAAAGGCTAGCATGTTTTCTTATTTTATATTTATATTAATATAGATAACAATTTGGGGCAGCGCAGCTCAAGCGAGACAGAGAGAGAGACAGAGAGATAGACAGAGAGACAGAAGAAATTTGTTTGTATCGTGTTGGAGATTGAACCCCAGGGCCTCGTGCTTGCTAAGTACATGTTTACTACTGAGCTTCACCCCCAGCCTATAGATAACATATGTACTGACCACTTCATGCCATATAAAGTAGTATGCCCTGTCCCACATAATTTTCACAAGTCTACGAGATAGCTACAGAAGTAAAGACAGATGTCCCCAGAGATTGTAGCACATTCTCTATGTCACATAGTCAGTAAGTGGTAGAATTAGGAAATTCTTAGGGCCAAAGAATGTTCCCTCCACTCACCCAGGTTCTCCTTCAAGTTTTGTTGAAATTAGTGACACCCTAACATAAAGGATGCTGTGCTTAATATGATAAATGAACTTTATGAAAATGTCAAAAAAATTCGTATTTTAAGACCTAAATAAAATATGCACAATAAACTGGGTTACAAATGCAAAAAATCCCAGAAAGATACACAATTTTCATGCAAAACTGTTCTATAATCATTACATTCACTTCCAAGATAATTATTTTTTATCTAGGATTTTTTTTCAAGAAACATAAGACACTATAACATAAGTATAATGAGAGAAATCTATCATTATGAGGCAAGCAAAATATGCAATGCAGGATATTAGAGTACATGGTTAACTACTAAGGAAAAGAATTACTTAAATGCTTATTTCACATTAACTACCCAAGCAAGTTCTCATCATACAAATTACATTTTAAAAGGAACACCATAAAATTAGAAGAAAAAAAATATGGTCAAATATCTTGACAGATAAAAAATTTTTAAGTTAAAATTTGTTTTTAAAACACTGAAGACCACAGAGGTTCTTACAATATATAAAAAGTAGGATACTATTTTGAAGGTATACTAAGTAGTTAAAGAAATATATTATTAATCATAAAAAACTCCTAAAAATTAAAACCGGTAAGTCTTTGTCATCTCCCTAGATAAAAAAAAGAGATGATACAAATTACCTATGTCAGACATGGAACTCATAACATCACTATACATAATAAAAGAATATCATAAATGAACATATGCAAATATATTTAATATGATGCCTAACTTAAATAAGTTCCATAAAAGATGTACATTATCAAAACTAATTCAGGGCCGGTGAGATGGCTCAGTGGAATAAGTGCTTCCCTGGCAAGCACAAGGACCTGAGTTCAATCCCCGGTTCCGCAAAAAAAACCAAACAACAACAACAACAACAACAAAAAACCCAAAAAACTAATTCAAAAAGAAATTTACTACCTCAATGACTCTGAAGTATTAAAGAAATTGAACTCATTAAAAGAATTGAACTCATTATTTAAGAGTCCCATGAAGAAAAATCTAGGCCCAAATCGATTCACTATTAATTCATCAGATACTTAATACAAACAAATAATAGCAATCTTACAGAAAGTCTTAAGGAAACAGAGAATACTTGGCAATTAATCTCATGATGTTAACATTAATGCCAAGCTAGGCAAAGATGTCAAGAAAGGACAGTACAGACCAATATCCTTCATAGCACAGATTGCCTTAACAGAGCAACATCATATTGAATTCAGCAATCCATGTAACCAACAGTGCTTCCTGACCTAGTAGGGTTTGGTCCAAGGATACAACATCAAAGAAATTTAGTATTTGAAAAATTCCATCAATATAGTTCAGAATATTAGCAAATAAAGGAAAAATATGGAAGTCATAAAATAACAAAACATGTAGAAGAAAACATATTTGAAAACTTTTCCAAGTTTGGGCTAGACAAATTTTCTTGACTAGCATATAAAAAAATCAAAACAAGGGCTGGGGACATAGTTCAGTAGAAGAATATGTGCAGGCATTGAAGAGGCCATGTGTTCAATCCCTTAGACTGAGAAAACTGTATTTCATCAAATTTAAAACCTCTGTCTTAGTGCTGACCAGATAGCTCAGTGGACTAAAGCATCTGCTTAGGCAGAGTGCAGGGACGGGGTTCAATCCCCAGCCTGCAATGCTGTCTCCACCCCCGGGGCGTGTTGAGACAGGTACTGAGACTGGGCTTGGCAGCATGTGCCTGTAATCCTAGCATGTGGGAGGCTGAAAACAGGAGGATCAATAAGAGGCTGATTTGTGTAGTGAGGCCCTGTAGATGCTGAACTAACTACATTAAAAAAAAAAAAAATCTCTGTCTTTGATGGCTACCTTTAGAATAGAGGGAACAGCCACAAAAGTAATAGAAAAAATTCTGAGTGTGTACTCAATAAATTATATGTAGAATATCTCACTTCATACAAGATGCACAAATGACCAGTAAGTACACACACAAAAAAAAATGTTCAGCATCATCAGTGTTCATGGAAAGGCAAACTGAATTCACAATGATTCATCGCCCCCAAATATGAGCTTGGCTAAAAGACTGACAATGCCAGGTTTTGACGATAATATAAATTTTAGAGTTCTCATACATTAACAGTGAGGTTGTAAGAGAGTATATTTTGGCAACAAGATTATAAAATCCGGTAAGTAAAACATGCTCATGCATTTCCCATATGAGCCAGCAATTCCATTCTTAGATATTCTCCTAAAGGAAATGAAAACATGTGTTCATGTAAAGATTTACATGAATGTTCATAGTTGCTATATTCATAGTAGACTCAAAATGGAAGCTGCAAATGTCCATCAGCTGGTAAAACAAATCAACAAACAGCGAAATGTATAGACAACAGAATACAAATCAGTCACAAAATAGTGACAGACTATGGATAAGCTCAACAACTTGGATGAATCTCAAACTCAATGTTAAAGATGCCAAATACAACTGAATACGTAACTGTCTGGGTTCATGTACATTTACATGTACTCTAAAAAAATAATCTATAATCACAGAGAGTAAATCTGGAATAAAGGCACCAAGCTCAGAGACACAAGAGAACTACTTGCGGTTTGGAGGCAGTGCTGTACTGTGACTGGCATCCACCTCAGCAGCTGCACACTCAAAGGGGAGTGTGTCGCTACCTTTAACTATGTCTGAACGCAGCGATGGGAAAGGCAAGTTAACTGCGACTGGTGCCACATACACCTTGGCAGGTTCTCTTAGAGAATGTGGCTAAGGTTATGCCCTCAGAGAGCATTTTTGGAAAGCAGGTCATCAAGTATTAAAGTATATAATCATCATATAGTATATAATCAACAGGTATTACACTCATCACCTAGTAATTCTACATTTAGGAATCAATTTTAGAGGAATAATCAGAAACAAGAATAAGTTTTCATGTGAATGGATATTTAGGCTTGCCACCTCATACTCATAAAGAACTAAAAGGAAGGAAACAGACTCTACCTGTAGGACAATAGGGGTGGTTAAGAAAATACTGATGAGCAATGAGGACAACTATTTTGGAGGTCTCTAAGATAAAATTTCCAAAGAATTTTTGGCAGTATAATAAAATAAGTCAAAATATTAAATGAAGAGAACTAAGTTGATATTTTGACTCCTGTAATATCTAACAGCATAAAACAAATTACAGCAGGCTAGAAAATACAATAATTTCTGATGGTGATGCTTTTTAAATTTTCCCCAAATATTTCCTAATTTTTGAAATATGCTTAACATAAAACACTGTAACATAATAGCTAATAATGAAAATTTGGATTTACCATATACTGTAATTTTTAAATACTGATGGCATGTTCTGGTTTTATAATTCACAGAGGTTAATTGATCCCTTTTACGAAGGGATCCAAAAGAAATGAATTTTCCATAGGGACCCTCGAGTAAAGACAAATCAGTTAACAGTGCAGACCGACAACGTTAGGTGGCATAAGCGCACCAGATGCTAAGCTGCAAAGCAAAACACTTGCCTGAAAAGAGCTTTGAGATTCTCTGGCAATTCAGTTCGACCGGCATATCCTGGGTTCATAGTAATAAATATTCCAACTGATGGCTTCAATGTGATAGCTTCTCCAAGAAATACAAATCTACCATAGAAAGAACGCTGATGGAATTAAACGTGTTCATTGAATATGAATGCACATTGACAAATGCAAACCACTGCAAAATGCAAATTATTATTAGGAAGCTGTTTATTCTGTGTCATTTTCTTTAAAATTCATAAGCATCCATATTTTGCAGCAGACTTATTAAAAATATCCTTCATCACTGCAGAGGAATTACAAGAAGTATTTCTGCAGAGCCACTGTATCTTAAAATACACAAATGAGGGCTTGCGCACTGTAACATTTAGTGAAATGGGAGGGCATTTTTGCCTTCAATGTGGGCAAAAAAACCTCCTTGAGTGGGACATCATGCAGGTAGAGAATGTTCACGCCACAAGGAGAAAGGCACACCCTCTTCAATCTTTGTCTGTTTGCTCACCTGTCCTTCCTCCCTTCTGTTTATTCAGTAAATATCTACTGAATACTGCTGAGAGATAGAATAGCATGGTGGTTAGGAAGCTACCCCTGGAGCCAGGCTGAATGTTCAGAGTCCACCTATATCATTTTAGGCATGTTAATTATCTTGTATCTTAATTCCCTCATCTAATCAAAAAGGATATTACCCACCTTATTGGATTGCATGAGGATTTCAAAGAGAATATAAATATAAAAGGCTAAGAGCACAATGACCATATATGGTAAACATAAGAAATACTAGTGAGGACTACTGCTATATGATCATCTCTAAGTATGGGAGAAGCAATGATTTTTACCAAAATTTGCAAGGGCCCAACAAGGTTGCTGATGCCAAGAGTGACAGAATGGTACGAGGCTGCAGGAGCCACACTGATGGACAAGTCCGACCAAGCTTCCGGATGGGGTACACTAGATCAGACAAACTCACATAGTGAAGGAACTGAACCTGCATCACAGAACAAGAAGGGAAAGATATGGAGAAAAAAAAATCCAGCATTTTTAGGACTGAGTGTCTCAGACACTGAATAACTTAGAATCGATAGATTTGCCTACTGAAGATAAGAGAAATTTTCATCTCCCAGATTTCAAAGGCTGCTCAGAGAGTGGACAATGACCATTTTCCCATCATACATAGCAGAAGAATGACTAGTCAAAGATATGGACCTCCCAAGGGTGTAGCCAGCAGGATGCTGAAAGGCTGTCAAGTCGAGGCCTCTCTAGTGGAGAGGGGATTTAATCAACTTGTGGAATCAGGAGGGAGCTTGGCCACCGGGATGGTGCCAGCCTAAGGGTGAAGAGATGTAATTCAGACATGGAGCTGGAGCCAGAGAGGCTATCAAGAGGTATGGCTGGGAAGTTTTGAAATGTGTTGGGTGGGTCACTTACATAAATCTCTATAACAAAGGATGGCTGAAATGTTATCTGGGTTGTATTAAGTAGTGAAATCTTGGCCAAAAGTTAAATAAAATATGGCTTGAGATCAAAGAGAAAATTATGGAATTCCTCTAATATGTCACTACATTAGGGATGTGTAAGGAAACAGACATCCAGATATAGGAAAGTGGCACCTCAAGCCCATTTGATGGTAAGATAGGTATCCACTGATAAGCTGGAAACTTCTAGAATGGGCTCCCAGCTCCCAGTGGCAAGATAATCCTTCACCAACTGGGAAACAAAATGTTCCAACACACAGGGCTGCTAGCTGAGAATACTATAAAATAAAACCTGAGAGGAATACATAAGCCAGAGAAATGAAGTTGTAGTTGTATAAAATAAAAAGGGTACACAGAGAACCAGTGTTGTCCTCTGTACTATAATGTTTGTTTCTTAAATCAAGCCATCAAGTTCTAAGTGTCAGCGATGTTTGCTTTCTGGCATCGCAAGTTGATGGGTGAGATTTCAGATACATTTGGAAAGTTTTTGCCCCAAGTTAGTAGAAGAACATGAAGCTATCACCTGCTGGGAAGGGACAGCTACTTGTGGAAGATGGGTACTTGTGGAAAGACTGGGATTTCGATTAAATAGAGGAGGATTAGGAGACACCCTGTGGAGTCTTCGGGAGTATGAAAGGTCTTTTCCAGTAAGCCTGGCGATGCCTGGGTGTCTGGGCCTGCTCAGGATGGAGGTCAGTTCTGAAAGCTGTGGCAGTGGATGAAGTCACCAAGGGAGTAAATGCAGATAGAAAAAAAAGTCCTGAGACTGAGGCCCATGACATCTGATGAGTAGCCCAGGAGGTAAAAACAACAAAAAAGAATAGCTAACATGGATAGGTGCCTCATTCCATGTAACTATCGCAGCCATCTACAAAGCTCTTGCCCCATTTTATGAAAAGAAAATAGGAAAAAAAAAAAGCAGTGGTGGCAGGGGGTGATATCCTGCAACTCATGTGAAGGAAGCATGTCACATGGTAGAGAATGACCGTCGGTGTCAGGTGCTATCAGGAGGTTCAAAAGACAGAGACAGAACTGATCCCTGGATTTAGCATCCCTCAAGTTGCCCACTGTTTAAGTAATGTGATATACCTTGAGTGTACTTGACATTTGAAGGTACTGATAAAAAGGAAGATGGCCAAAGGAAAATTTCAAAATCAACTACTGTCTTACCCATTTCACGAAAGAGACAGCAAGAGACTGGGAAGGTGAGTTCTGTGCATTATTCTGTGATCCTAATTGGAACAAAAGAGCCACAGAGAACTTGCCTCTTTTTCCCATTTCTGATGGCATCATGAATCATCTTCACCTGCACAGCCACCACGGACAGAACCTCCACCGCAATGCGGTTGAACTCGTCAAAGCAGCCCCAGGCCCCAGTCTGCGCCAGGCCCTTGTAGATGTTTTCTATGGACCGAAGAATAGGAGTACTATGAGTTTCAGAGAAGGATGTCTTTGATATTTACAAGGAGAGTGCCCCTCACCTGAAAACCCAAACAGCTCCAAAATAAATCTAAAACTTTGAGTGTCAACATGATGCCAAAAGTAGAAAATTCCACACTATGGAACTTGGTAAATTATTAAACCTGTTACATAAGGTTTAATGTAACATGGTTCATGGCTGAGGGGATACTTCAGTGCTCTAAGTGCCTGACTGACAAGAGCAAAGACCTGTACCACATGCCATGCCAACCCCGGAGCCCTAGGAGCTCTGTGCCAGCCACTGAAATTGTGTAAGGTGGCATATACATGTAATTCCAGTGCTGGGAAGGCTGAGACAGGAGGAGTCTGAGCACATAGCAAGACTCTGTATCAAATAAATAAATAAAATATTAAGTTCAGATGATGTGTATAAATAAGTTTTGTTTAGAATTGGGTGCCCTCTCGAAGTGTCTTATTAAGCATATGCAAATATTTCAAAATAGAAACCTGACCTAGAAACACTTTTGGCCCAAGTACTTCAGTAAGGGACACTTAGACTCCACCCACACGGGAGCAATGTTAGCATGTATCATTTTATACCTCATTTAATAACTTACTTTGTAGTCCATTTGCTCTGAACAGTTGAACACATAAACCATCATGCCAAGTGCGCGGCCAAGATCCTTGGTAGTTTCCGTTTTCCCTGTACCAGCCGGGCCAGCTGGAGCCCCACTCATGGTCAGATGAAGTGACTGGGTTAAAGTAATATAACACCTTTGTGTAACAGAAGAGAAAAGCATTACAGTCTAACATGAAATCTCCACGCAGTATTAGCAGCAAATGATTTTCTAAAGTAAAAGCATAAGAAGCCCAGGGCTAGCATGTGGTCACTGGGCAAAACACTGATGTACTCCTCATGTGTTCATAGCAACAGGCCAGATTATTTTATATCAATTTTAATTTTAGGTTGTCTATTTATAGCTACTCAGAATAAAGCATTGTGTTGTTTATTGTTCTCATTTCCTAAGAGCTATGCATTTGAATACAAATACACTTCATTTGCAATGTAATTCAATTTCTAATATTTCTAGGTAGAGATATTATTAATATGGTAGACAACCTCTCAGGCTAGTGTTTATTAAAGAAAAATAGAAATCTTGGATGAGTGAATGAATTAAACATTGACTGCTTTCAATTGCTACCTAATAAATACATTAAGAGCTGAGTAGGTAAACATAAATACGTAGTATGCAAATATACACCACTTTAATGTTTAAGACAAAAATGCAGTGGTATAATTTATCCTATCAAAACAGTTTAAGCATTCATTTTGAATGTGTTGCTTGCATGCATAAAGACTAACATAATACCTATTTTTGCAAGAAGAGTCAAAGGATCCAGCACTGAGAAAAGTATGCAAAGACAGCATTCATAAAAGAAGGAAAGACTAACGGATGGCGAGGCCTGAAAGTGCCTGGTGTTCATTTGGGGTTTCTTCAGGTTTATACATTAGCTTTGTCTTAGTATAGGCAGTGGGTCTCCTGGGAAGACATGCACGGACATCAGTGCACCAGAGACTAACGCTGCTTTGTAAATCTTCGCCTCAGTTTTCTCCTCCATACAATGAGGTTTAAGGGAAAAATATATGAAAAAAGCCAAAGGTAAGCCTCTTTAAAAATTCACATATGCATAAAACATGCATAAATTCAAAGGTATGGGTGTTTAAGTCCATTTTATAACGAGACTGAGTGGAAAGACTCCTAGGCAAGAAATTAGAGCACTTTGTGCACACAAATTATCTATCCCCTTGTAGTTTCAAGTTTGGGCCTGATATGTGGCCACGGATATCTGCATTTCCCACCTGAATTCTGTTAGGAACTGGTGAACGGACCAAGCTCCAACCAACCTTGCACACATAGAAAGGGTCCTCCTAGGACACTCACTTCAGGATATTTTACCCAGCTCCACTCACCCTTTGTTTGCTGCCCAAAACAATGTGAAAGTAATCTTTAGCACGTCTAATCCCTGTCAGTCTAATCTGTTGGCCCACTCAACTGTGGACGGTTCTAAATGGGAGACATCTGCTTCCATGTTATCTAAGCCATTGTGTCCTGAGCTCTCTCCACAAGAGCTGAGCCTACATCCTTTTAGTCATGCCGGTGTCCAGCACAGGTCTGCCAGGGCCAGCCTGGTGATCTAAGGCTCTGTATCTGTCCACAGGTCTACCCTGCCTAGCCCACAGAGACAGCAAGCATCCAATGTAATGCAAAGTAGGTATTTCAAAGCATCATTACATTAATGCAAACAACTCATAAATAGTCCAAAGGATGAAATGGAAGAAAATGTACATAACATCTCATCCATACTATCAGAATGCTTGTCTTAATTTCCAAAAAAACCACACAATGACTTTAAAATTTTAACCAGCAAGCAATCAATCTTCACATACTGATAAACATTAAAAACATCCTTTCCTTTCTCTCACATCCTGAGCTTCACCTCTGTTCTATTCCCAATGGTGGTGTAGCCTCCTAACGTTTCCAGTCCTGACTGTTCTCAGGTGATTATGCCAAACTACATGTATCAATCCTTCACACTAAAAGAACTACATAAATAATGAAGACAATGAACAGTTTTAGAGACACATCAAAAAGAACAAATCAGACAATTATAACAGCTGTACAGGGCAGGCCAAATAGCTCAGCGGATTAGAGCACCTGCAAGCAGGCGCAGGGGCCAGGGGTTCAAGCCCGGGCCTGCTGTGCTGGCCCTGCCCCTGGGGTATGCTGAGACAGCAGTTGAGACTGGGTGTGGTGGTGTGCGCCTGTAATCCCAGCTCTTGGGAGGCTGTAAAGAGGCGGCTCACTATGAGTCTGATGTACTAGTGAGACCCTGAACATCCTGTAGACCTTTCGTAAAATACAAAAGAAAAAAAAAAGGTGTACAGTACAGAAAGGATGAAGTCATGAGCAGATTAGTATGTGAATAAACAGTGACAAAGCTTGTGAGAGAATTGCACCAATGTCTCCAGACTACCACAACCACCAGCTGTGCTCTGGTGACAAGACCAATGGAGGGCATTGCTGTGAGCTCAAGGTATAAGTTCCATCTCAGAAATACTGAAACTTTAATGTGCTTTCTCCCACGACGAAAGTCAACAGAGGCTGGAATACTAATAAAGAAACTCACCTCCATGAGACCATATTCCGACCTTTCCAACATTCTGACAATGTACATATTTACTCAAAATCAAGGGACAATGAACTTTATGTTTATTTTGAAGAGAACAAAATATAAACAATGATACTGAATTTCAAAAGAAGGTAAGAGATTAACAATGGTTAATCTATTAAGTATTATTATCTTGAAAGTAGTTGCTCAGATTAGAAGATACAGACATGAAAAATTAAACAATATAGACATAAACTGTTCTTTTTAATGAACTAAGAAATTAGTAGTATAATTATCTTAGCTATCTTGTGTGTATGTACACACATACACACACACACACACACACACACACACACACATTTTCATTTCCCTCCCTTCTTTCCTTTCCTGCATCCCAGTTGTTCTTTCCTTTTGAACAGTTTGTTCCTTTTTTCACAGTGTCTATTGTATGTTTTGGGTCTTATTTACTTTAGTTTCTTATACTAGGGAGATAATAAGATACTTACACATGTGAGTCTGATTTAGACAGTGAACTCTTAACAGCACCCTCTTGCTCCCTTGCTCTGTTGGAGCCCAAAGGTTTTCTTTCTACCTTTTGATGAGTGAAGCTTCTCCTCACCTTGGAAGCTCTGGTGCTTGCTTTTGCTTGTACCATTCTGCCCTACCCAGGGCCTGTGCATAGCTGTCCTGCATTATCATTTAGTTCTGAGCTCAAAGGTTTCCTTCCTAGGTTATCCGGTTGAGTATCCCAAACTACTCCAGAACTTGAATCCCTTGAGTGGTAACAATACCCAAATAGTTTCAGATTTCAAAGCATTTCAGATTAGGGATGATTATTCAGAGAAGTCTACAAATGTCCTCCCATCCCTACCCTCCAGAAAAAAACCGCAAAATTTAAAATTTAACCTGGTCCCAAGCCATAAGGGAAGGGATCCTCAAACTAAAGTAGATTCCCCATCTGTCAAAGCACTTTTAAGACATCACCCTATTTTCATAGCATGTGTTACTACCCAAAATACTTTACTCTGTATTCTTCTTAATCCTCAGATACCCATACATTAAATTCAACTTTAAAGTAATCCCACTGGTAGCAAAGCACCTTGTCTGCTTAATAGCACAGCATTTTATAAGTATTTGTTGAATCATTTAATGCATCTTAGGTTCTCGCTCTTCCCTTTTCAGTGTATGTAATTCTTAAAAAATAAATCTGAACATGCAATTCCTATTGAGTTTTTACCTGTGGAGAGAGAATGGAGTGGGGAATATGGTGACAGGGTCTGGTGACAAGAATGCTATCATAGATGAAAGAGAGATTGGTGTTCAAACAGGCTACCTTGAAGGATATTAATCTCATGATTTCACCATTCGCATATTAGACCTTCTATAATTTTGTTTCTCTAATTCAGTTTTAAGGTATCTCTAAATACATGCTATCTTAGATAATTAGTTAATATAAAGCCTGCTTTCATACAGTTTCACAATTTGTTTATCATTTTCTTGCATTCTTTCTTTTTATCCTCACATATCTTTGCCTATGCAAAGGGACTTGGTTTGATTTTTCTCATCTGATTCAAACTGGTAATTGTTACCTGTCAGTCAGAGGAGTGATCACGAGTCGAGGACTGTTTCCTAAGTATTCATAGAAGTACTGGAACTGAGCGTCACAAATACTAACAAAGCAGTGTTTCTGGGTGTCCTCCCACTGGTGACGAAGTTGAGACAACCAAGCAAAAGCCTGGGGGCTGACAACCTAAAATCATTGCAAAATCATTACATATGGGACCCTGAGAGTTCTGAGGAAAAAAAAATTAACTGATTAATGTAATAATATGTCTTAGCTCACACTTCATTTTTAAAGTCTCACAAATAAGAAATCTCTTTAATGGTCAACAATTAGACAAAAATTATCCTTTTAGTACAAAATAAAGGATACATTTTAAATCCTAATTTATTGTGCTGCAAACAAACTACCAAACTGATAAAGCAGTACATATAGATACGATCATATTCAAGCTACAGAAGACCCTCGAGTTATGGCTGGCTTCATATACAAACAACTTTGGTTATGACTGGAAGTTCAGATTTAATTTATGGTTGACATATTGAGCTATGATCCAACTACCAGCCACTTGAGGGGTTGTAAGCAAAGACTGGTGATTTCAGGAAAGGGTATGTAAGCATCAGCTTAGATGAATGTGTTTGTGAATATGATTCCAGTCAGTGCTTTATATAATTGCTACAATTACTGCCATCAGAATGGCCCCCAAAATGCTAGAAAAGAAGTTAAGGCAGGAAAGAAAGCAGAAGAAAGTAATCCCAGTCAAAAAGCAGAAGGAAATTGTGGACAAATATGAGTGTGGCAATTGTGTGACTGATCTTGCTAGTACATACAGTGTGTTAAAATCCACCATGTCCCCAATATTAAGGAAAGAAGATTGTTAGAAGGAAGCCAGTGTTGCTAAAGGTGTTACTCAAGTTAGTAAGTCATAATCAACAGTGCTGGATGTGGTAGAAAGGCTATTAGTGTGGATAAATGACAGGCAGATGGCAGGTCATAGTCATCTGAGTCTATGAGCTGTGAAAAGGCTAGGGCTATGAATACAGACCTCGTAAAGTATAGTCCACCAATGGGTTAGTGGTGAAACGTTTTGCACCAGTAAGGGGTGGATTCACAATTTTAAAGTAAAAAGTGACATTCTTAGAGTAACTAGGCATAGTGAAGCAGCCACTGTTGATGGAACTGCTGAAAATTATACATAGCGCTTCACAATGAGGACATGGAGAGGGGGCTTTTGCTTTCATCAAGTTCTGAACTGTGATGAAACTGGCTTTTCTGAAAGAAAATTGGCAGGAGAATGTACATTACCCAGGAAGAGAAGAATACACCAGGTCACATGCCTATGAAGGATAGGATAAGTTTTCACTATGTGTCAGTGTAAGTGGTTACCTCAAGATAAGGTCTCTTGACTTATCATGCTGAGATCCCTGGAATATTCAGAAAACAAAGTCCTGAAAAGTAGGCTAGGGATCATGTGCCAAACAAATGCAAAAGCTTGGGTAATAAAAGCACTTTTTCTTGAGTGGATAAGGGAGGATTTCCATCCTATGTTAAGAAATAATTAGAGAACAGGCTGGGGAGGTAGCTTGGTGGTATAAGCGACCGCCTGGCAAATGCAAGAACCCAGATTCAATCCCCAGTACTCCGGGCCATGCTGGCCCTGGAACCCTGCCGGCCACTGAAATTGGGTGTGGTAGCACACACCTGTAGTATCAGTGCTGGGGAAGCTGAGACAGGAGGACAACTCAGAGTCTGAGCTGCACAATGAGACCCTGTACCAAATAAATAAATACATCTTTAAAAATAAAATAAATAAAAATTAAAAAATAATATGTAGAGGACAAAGGTTTACAATTCAAGGACCTCCTTATCATGGATACATCTCCTGCTCACCCACAACATTTGGAAGAAGAGGCCCGTGGGACCTCTCTAGACCAAAACTCAGGCATGCCGTGAGAGTGAGACCCTCTATTCCAGCCTTGGAACACCTCCACCCCTCCGGAGGCCCTACTCCCATGTCCACCGAGTGAGTGAGAACTTCTGTGACACTCTCGGGACCCCCAGATCCAGCCCAAGCCCAGGCCCAGCTAGTGTATGGGAGAGCTTCTGCACTCCCCTGTGCCCTCTGGGCCAGGAGCACAATAGAGGGGCACCACAGATTCACTGTTGTGCAAGAGGTGCACAACAGTTTCACTTCCAAGGGCTGCAGCAGGAAGGCGCTGAACACAACAGCTAGACCCAAGTGAGGCATAACTGGATAAACTCAAACTTAATAGATCTGTGCCCGAATTTCAGTAGGTGCTAAGGTTATAACTGCACCAACGGTCAGAGGTCAGTGCTATACGAAATGACAAAGAGAAGGAGCAAAATGCAATCTCAGGCCACGAGCCTGCCCAGTACAAGTGCAGAGGACACTAGCTCAGCTGAAAGTATGAATTAATAGCGTCAGAAGAAAAGAAACAACAGCAGAAAAGTATAGAGGAACTCAGAGCAGAATCAATTTCTGAAATAAAAAAAGAAATCTCTGAATTCATAGCACCTGAAGTAAAGAATCAAATATAGAAACATATGGAGGAAACTCAATGCCCACCCAGAACAAGTGTAGAGGACACTAGCTCAGCTGAAATGTATGAATCAATAGCATCAGAAGTAAAGAAACAACAGCAGAAAAGTATAGAGGAACTCAGAGCAGAATTAATTTCTGAAATAAAAAAAGAAATCTCTGATTTCATAGCATCTGAAGTAAAGAATCAAATACAGAAACATAGGGAGGAAACCCAATCTGAAAGAAAAACTCTGTAGTAAAAGAATAAATAACTGCTTCTAAAGAAGACATCGATTAAAAAAATAGAGGAGATTAGAAAAATAACAGATTCCTTGAATGAGCAATACAGGAAAGAAATAGATTGCATGAAACAGAGTCAAAGAGATGTAGAATTTAAAATGTCAATTACAAGCCTGCAAAACCATTTCAGTGAAAGTGAAGTTAGAGTTTCAGATCTTGAAGACACTGGTGCAGCTAGTGAAAAGATAAGAAAGGATCTCTTAAAAACAATTAGGATGCAGGAAAAAATAATTGATCATCTGCAAGACAATGCAAAGATGAACAACGTGAGACTAATAGGCATCAGTGAGAAAGATGGGGTCAATACAAATGATATAAAAAGAATATGGGCAGAAGTAACAGCAGAAAAACCCCAAATATGAGGAAACAATCTGACATTCAGGTAACCGAAGCTTACAGGACACCAAATAACTTCAACCCAATTAAAAACACACCAAGACATACAATAGTCAAAATCCCAGAAATCCAGCACAAGAATAATATATTGAAAGCCTCTAGAGAAAAGAAGCAGATCATATTCAAAGGAAAACTCATCAGAATTACAGCCGACTTCTCTTCACAAACCATGAAGGCAAGAAGAACATGGAGCAAAGCACATCAAGTCCTCTGTGAAAACAAATTCCAGCCCAGATTACTATACCCTGAAAAACTCTCTTTCAAGTTTGATGGAGAAGTGAAATACTTCCATGACAAAGAACACCTAAAGAATTTCATGATGACAAAGCCAACCCTACACAGGCTACTGAAAGATGTTCTAGAGAGGGACCAAAATGATTAGAACTCCACCAATGAGAACAGAAGGAACCCACTAAATAGGGCAAACGATTAAACATGGGATTAAAAAAAGAGTAAACAACAGCAGGTAAATAACATGTCAATCATAAGTCAACACATCGCAATTGTAACTATTAATGTAAATGGGCTCAATTCACCAATTGAGAGAAATACACTGGCACAGTAGATTGGAAAACAAAATCCAACAATATGCTGTACACAAAAAACACATTTAACTCATAAAAAATTCATAGGCTGAAAATCAAAGGATGGAAAACAATACTACATGTCCCAGCACCTCAGAAAAAAGCAGGGGTAGCAATCCTGTTCTCAGACAGTCTCAACTTCAAATCAACAATGATCAAACGAAATAAAGAAGGCCACTATATACTGGTTAGGGGAAAAATTCAAGAGGAAGAGGTAACACTCATAAATGTACATGCACCAAACATGGGGGCACACAGCTATAGAAGACAAATCTTAATGCACATGAAAAATCTAATATCCAATACAACAATCTTAACAGGAGATCTTAACACCCTCTTATCTCAAAAAGAAAATATTAGCAAAGAAGTAGCAGAACTGAGTAGCAGAAGTTCCAGAGCTTGGAACAAATGGACTTGGTGGACATATACAGAGTGTTCCTCCCAAACAAAGCTGAATACACATTTTTGTCACCTGCACATGGGTCATTTTCTAAAATAGACCACATACTGGTC